CCGCGCAAGAATTGTGAGTTTCTTGCGGGGGGTCTATGAAAGCACAGCAGAAACCCTCCCAGATGTTCGTGATGACACATACGACGCGGATGAGGCTGTCTCTGTTGGCTTGGTAGTGCCAGAATTGCAGGACCCTTATGCTGAAACACTTGGCGCTGGTCCGGAGCCAGTAGTTCAAGCCGGTAAAAAGAAGAAGGTTCATTCCAAAAAGTTCTCGATCACACTGAACCCAGATCGGAAGGCCGCTTTTGAGGGGCAAGAAAGATTCCTGCCACCTGGGTCCATGAAGGATTATTGGGAACAGTTCAATGACGTGCACCCTCGTGCACATGATGAGCGCCCCGTCTCATTTACAACTTTCTGGAAAGTTTGGCACCAGGAGTTCAGTTTTATGAAGTTTCGGGCGGCTTCCAGTCACTCCATGTGCGCAACCTGTTTAAAGCACAAACTTCTCATCCGTGCTATGTGCGGACACCTCCTAGCAAGAAAGCAGCAGGTCCAAGCCTATGCTCACTTGCGAGCCCAATATCAAGATCGGCTCACTTATTGGGATATCCGCGGTGTGTCCAGAGACCGCACGCCGTTTGAGGTGTGTGCCATCATCGATGGTATGGACCAAGGCAAGTTTGCATACCCAAGGTCAGATTTATTCAGGTCAAAAGACCTGAGTGGCATGAACCGGCCCCGCGCACATATCGCTGCCAGCATTCTTCACGGAAGAATGGTGGTTTTTACAGTGTCACCTGCAGACCTTCCGAAGGATGCTAATGCCTCCATCGAAACGACAGCTCACTGCATTCACCTTCTCTCTCAGATGGTTCCGGTGTCCAGGATGGTGCTGAGCATACAGAGCGACAACACCCCTAGAGAGGTAAAAAACAACCATTACCTCAGATGGTTGTGCTCTTTGGTATCACACGGTGCCTAGCTGGATGACAGTGTGATTGGCAATGGTTACCTTGTGTCCCCCTTCTTTCTTTTCGGCGGGTGATAAACCCTGATCGATCGAGCTCCCATCCAAGGCATCATATATGCAGCTCGGCTACGGCATTTAAGATCTGGCCACAGTCACGAAGATGTGGACCAACTTTTTGGGCGGGTTGCATCACATTTGGCTAGGAGAGCTCGAAATGCAATTGGCCCCCCTGAGTTCAAGGAGATTATCCAAGATTTTTTGGACAATCGGTTGAGCCGGCCTCATGAGCCCGAAAGGCATGCGGTCCTCTTGGACCAGTGCCGCGACTGGTAGCTTTCCAAAACATTAGTTCAAACATGTTCAAACGATGATAACGATGTTTTTAAGGGACAGCACTTTTCCGACGCCATGATCACAAGAATGCACATTCAGTGTGACCAGCAACTCAGGCGTGCTTACTTGCAAACTGGCGTGCCCGTGCATTTGACTGGCATTGGTGGACCTCGCGCACCGCATGTCTTTGAGTTCGATCGACGTTGCAACTTGGGAGACTCTGTTGCATGGGTCAAGTCTTTCCCTTACTTTGTGTATTCACATTGCTGATGATTCCTGTTTTGCTTTCCGTGGGTGGGCGAATGTGTTCGAAAATTGTTTTCGGATCCGGAAAGCCAGCAACACTAATTTAATTCAAGATTAAAATCATTGATTGACAATTTTTTCAAGCTTTGACCTTTTGTTTTTCACGCTGCTATTCAAGGCAGCGATGTTGTGGAGGGTGCGGAAGACAAGTTCTGGCAACTTCCCCCACACCCATTCGATGTGATCCTCAGGCGTCATCGCATCACTTGCAATTTCAACCTGCAGTGAAGAGATTCTGGTTCTTGTTGGTAATTGGAATATTGATGAGGCTAGTTGAAGCAACAATAATTTAATTCATATGTTTTCAACGTTTTAGTTGAAATCCTTGTTGGGCGTTTTGCAGAAACCGACCTGTCACATTTTGTTTTGGAGGACCAAGCACTACATGGCGGACACAGAGTACAACTTCTGTGCAGTCTATTATCCACGTGCAGTGGCACAGGTCAGACTCCCTTTGGGGCTGCCAGCAGGCTGGCCGCTATCATGGGGAGTCAGCCAGTTTTCAATAATGGGCTTGTGATACTTGAATTGACACCCCAGACCAGTGACACATGTAATTTCAATCATGTCCAGGCCATGATGAGTTTTCACTCCATCCCTCTTCCAAGCCATAATGGAAAGACATGACGTGTTGATTTGATTAATGCGACTCAGTTTCAGAGTTTAATCTAGAGATGTTGCGAAGGTTAGTCACCAACTATTTCCTGTTTGATCCTGAGCAATTGAATCGGGGATTTTGGCCGACACGAGTTTCAGTTTCAGTCAACCCCTGCTGCTGGTGGAGGCATAGCTCCCAGAAACAAACTCACTGATGATTTCAAAAAGGAGGTGCTGAAACACTTGCCTGCAATGAGAGACTTGAACTTGACTGCTGCTGCTGATTACATGGAGTCGTGGGTTCGTGGAGAGCTGCCATTGGCGCCATTGCTGGATGTGAGGGGGTGTCTTGACTTGCATTTGTTCTTTGTTTACCTCTCTGGAAGAAGTCACATTTAAACCTACTATTAACCAAAATAGTTCAAGGTGTGAGATGGGTTATAGTTGTGTTAGCTGTCTGTGGCTGATGTTGGTATCGATGGAGGTGTGCAGTCTTCAGCTCACCAGTTGGACCAGACCACAGTGCGCCCGCAGTGCAAGTCTTGGAGACGATTGGGAATCAGTTGAAGCCCCTTGCGCACGGTCTTTGGCAACCATTCTTTTTTCAAGTCGCATTAAGACTTTGGATCACAACGTTCCAGATTTCTAGCACCTTTGGACTGCCTGCCACTGATAGAACGTTCTGTCTTTGTCTCAGGTGAACCATTTTTGTTATATTTAGGGTTGCGTGAGCTGGATCCGATCCAGGTTTGCCCGACCTTCCAATGACAAAAAGCGAAAAGAACAAGTTACTATGTACCTTGCAAGTGCACGGAAGAGGATGGCCCTTGAAGCAGCAGCCCGTGCTTGGGCAAACGGTGTCCCGTGGGCGGAGGCATTGAAAATTTGCCGTCGTGCAATTGACAAAGCTGATGCGGTTGCAAAACCGCTTCCAAAAAGGAAGCCAATCCGCAGGTGATTTAGCACTCAGTGTAGCATTCCAGCACAAAGGATTCATGTCTGATCCAGATTTGTTGACAAGTCAAAAAAAAATGGGGTGCGGCAGTACCGTTTAAGGGGCTTTCATCCATGGAAAGTTCTTGCTTCATGCAAATTTAGGTTATCCTTCGGAAGGAAAAAAACCACCAAGTGTCCGACCCACCCCTGGGTTTGACACATCGACACCTCATTGTGCCAGCCTGAGACTCTTGAGTTAAACAGCATATGAGAGAATTTGTGTGGTTTGGAAAGATCTGACGTTTTATTGAGTGTTGGTTTTCCAAAATCCGACACTCAGAAGATCAAATCCGACATCTCATTGTTGTGAACAAGGTGTCGGATTTTTAAAAATCCGACACTCAGCATATCAATGTTAGATTCTCCGTGTTTGGGTGCTCAGTGTCGGATTTTAAAAAACCCGACACTCAGAAAAATCAATGTGAATTTCCTTTTCGACAGGTTTCCCACAAACAGACGCTCAGCAAACCAAACCTGAAACCTTATTGATGGGCACCAGGTGTCGGATTCTTAAAACTCCGACACTCAGCATATCGATGTCAAGGTTTCGGTGTTGGGTACGAAGTGTCGGATTTTCAAAAATCCGACGCTCATTACTTTTTTCCAAGCATCTACAATTTCAAGTGAAAGTGTCGGACCGAGCCTCAATCCGACACAAAACCACTAGCTATTTCATGCTTCATTTTGTGTCGGGCCCGGGGCTGGGTTGGACACAAATTGGATTAGAGAGGAATGATGGGTGAAATTGAATTTTCACACGTGTATGAAATTGCTTTGATACAGGGGCTTTTTGTGTCTGGCCCACCCCTGGGTTGGACACATATCCATTGTCATTTTCAACTCTGAATTTGTGTCCATTTTTTGTGCTCTTGTTTTAGCTTACCAATTTTTGATGGCCCATGCATATTGAATCAATAAATTTTGGCAAGTGTCCATGTTCATGGTCCTTTCTTTGGCACTTATCACTGCCAATTTTCGAACCAATGTCCCGGGATTTGGAGACATGCCCAGGCGGTGTCGTCTTCATACTTTGCAAGGTGCATAAGGGCAGCTGTAAACACAGCCCAATGTTTGATCCAAACCCAAATTCGTTCTTGGCGTGAGGCCCGAAGAAAGCTTTTTGCAAAGTTTTGCAAGACTATATGTCACATTTCTGGTTGTGAAGTTTTCCTTGTCAAGCACCATGTGATTTCTAGGTTTAAAACAAAAAGAAATCTGAGATCAACATGGAACTTTCCAAACTGCAGTTAATAACAGTCTTTGAGGGGGAGGGGCCTGTTTGCCTGGCTTTCTCCTTGGGAACCAGCTTCCAAATATGATGTGCAATTTGTTGATCTGGCCGCGGCCAGGAATCTTACTGTCACCACGGCTTAGCATCCAACTTTGCGGCAGTGGTTTGCCAATTGCTCCTGAAAAAAGTGGCAGACCTGGTGACCTGGGTTCCGGCAATGCACTTTGCTTAGAAGAGTAAGTAAATATCTAAAATCATTCTATAGAGCCATTGGGTCATGTCGGTATAGACTTGTCGCCACCAGCTGCTGGCTTAGAGTCTCAGAGTTGGAGATTTTCCAAACCTTGGTCAACACTCCGTGTCACTATTGGGCTTGCATGGCCGGGAGGAAGCGGCCCTCCGGAGGAGGGGGTCAGCCCGTCAAGAAGGGCAAAGTTGATGAGCAGAAACCTTCGCACATCAAACGCATAACTGAGTGGTTGCTGTGGCTGCAGTGGAAGGATTGGGCATGTTCGAATTTGGTTACTGCCTTGTCTCATCTTTTTCCTCCATTCCATTGTGCCCGGGTGTCTTAGGTTCACCTCCATTGTGGTTCCGCAGGGAGGCCCTGACAAGTTCCTCATGCAGAAGTATCGCTCGGAGGCATCTTTAGTGAGAAATACTGTGCCACCATTGCTTCAAGTAAATATCTGAGTTGGATCATACATGTCACCTTGTGCTGTCTTACTTTGAAATTCTTTCGCAGGCCGATCTGATGGATTTTGCGGGGTGGCTTGAGTCCACCTTCCCAAGTTCAACAAGGCTGGCCAATTGCAGAGTTGACTTCGTAACAATTTAGTTCCTCAGTCTTTAAAGAATTGCCAGCTGTTTTTCAAATTCCGGCAACAATTTCTTGTTGCTGTTACGAAGTGATGCTTTGACCGTCGGCCAGGGTGCAGTACTCTGTGGATTTGTCTCCTGGAGGGAAGCATCTTCGCGTGTGGCAGCTGGGTTTCCGCACTGATTTCGGCTTGGCAGGAATGGTTGACCCGTTCGACATGGTCGGCCTCATTGAATTGGTTTTGGCCCATGGGTTACTCGGCTTTGGCTTGTTTTAGTTTATCAATTTAGCCAAGCCTGCTCTTAGAAGCTTCAGATTTTGAAAGTAATAGCTGATTTCAAAGTGCAGGCTGGCAAGACTCCAGTTGGTTGGGCACCTGAAAGAAGAAACAGAAGTCACCACAGAATCTAGCAATTTCCCATATTTTAGCACAGTGGTTTGGGCTTGTGCAGCCATCATGTTTTGTGTGGGCCAAGGTTTCGCACAGATCCCAATTACCCAGGGGTCGAGAAGCTCAACATTGTGAAGCCGATGCCTGCATGGTTGGAGACCCCCTACAAGCCGTTGCCAGTCCTGGATCCCAACGGTGGTTGGCTTACTAGTCTGATGTGTGTGGAGTGCTTGATGTTGGTAGCTTTCAGCCCAGTGCCAGGCACAGTGTCAACAGCAACCGTGTTTGCGCTGACACAAGGTGGTGATGAGCAAATTGCTCCGTTTTCGATCGCCTACGTGAAGGGGTGGCGACGTGCTTTGGCTTGCTTGATTTGCTGTGAGGGAGTTCGCAGCCTTGGGCTCTCCACTGACGAGCTCACTTCGGACTTCAAGGCGTTGTGTTTTAATGCTGGTTAATGGTGAAAACTGGTTGAGGTTGGAAGTGGTTCCACCAGACGAAATGTCATTTCTTCTTTGTGCATGTCGTGCAGGCATCACTTCAACTGATCCATGGAAGCGTCTGCAAGTTCTCAACCTCCAAAGAAGCAGTTTTCGCATCCAGAGGATTCTGCTGTTTTTGTGGGCTTTTTTCACTTCAATGCAAGCTGAAATTTGTTTCCAATCATATACTTTAAATTCTATTTGCATGTTTGGTCACACTCCTAAATTTGGGGCGCCTAACTTGGGCCTTGATTTTTTCAATTTCCAGGAGCTACTCTGTCACAAACATCAACCAGACGACCGCCGAACGCAATGAATTTCATGCGCCAGCTGGAGATCTTGAAGAAGAGTGGTGAAACTGCAGATTTTACCGTCACATCCTTAGTCTCTACTTTGTAGTTCGTCAGTGTTGCACAGCGTTGCAAGGGGCTTGTCTTTCCTCAACTTTTGGCGCCTTTCAAATTTGAAGAAGCCTTGCGAGGAGTGGGACAATGCTGCTGCAGTGGCACGTGCTTTTAGCATCGGTCCCAAGGAGAGTGCTGCAGTGTCAAACCTTCAAGCCCATGTGAGCCCCACTGTCACAGAGCTTCTCAAAGAGGCGACCAGGGGTCGTGGGATGCGTCTATGGATCACACATGACATGCTGGCGCGTGAGATGTTCAATTTGACTTGGAGCAGTGGACAGTCTGGCCCGCTCTGTGCTTGGGTGGTTGAGCTGACAAACAAACCGGATGACAAATTGGTTGCTTGGTCAAGCAATGATTTTGTCATACTTTGTGATGAACCGCATTAGAGAGTGGCTTCAAGAAACATGACTGATAACAGCTCATTAACTTTGAACAATCGACACAACACGCGCCTGCCTTAAATTTCCTTTGGATGCTGAGGCTAGGTTGTTCATCAGGCGCCTCACAAGTGACTGGGACCGGCAGCCTGCTGGAATGAAGCAGTGTTGGACGTACAAGACCGCTCTCCCAGTCCATGCCGCTTGTGGCGGTTTTTTGGCGATCATGGATCGTTTGCAGAGCTCCATCCCTCAGGCGGACTTTCAGAGCGTGGAGCAGCAAATCTGTGATCAGTTTGCGGTGGGTATTTTGGATGGTGACATACTTCACTTCCTGGAGAGCACAGTTCCCCCAGCGGATCTCAAGCAGGTGACCTTTGTCAGGACTGTAACAGTCACATGTTGAAACGAACTGTTCGAGCCATAGTCACAGGAATTTAAACTTGGAGTATCCTGGACTCTTAGCGTGAGCCCTTCTTGATCTTCATGGCACCAGGAACACCATCACAACGGTGGAGAATCGAGCCCAACGCGATGCAGAAGAACAAGAACGACTCCTTGCAGAAAAAGTCGCGGCAGCCACTGCCGACCAAGTGAAGCACAGGTTGGACCAGGATTTAAAAGTCTTGCGGGACAGGATCAAGGGGCAAGATCACATTGCCAAAGAGGCGGCTTTGGATTCAAAGTATTTGAGTCAGAGGCAAACGTTTCTTGCTTTCTGATTCAGGAAACTTTTATCATAAATACAAGGCTTTGGCTTTGACCACTTTGCATTAGGCAATCCTCAATATTCATCCTGCTTCGCAGGGTTCAGCTGAGCACACCCAAGCACATTGCCTAGTGGTCCGGAAGCAAGGGCATCGTTTTCTGTTGTTGTTCTTCTTCTTTCTTTCTTTCTTTCTTTCTTTCTTCTCCTTGTCGCTGTTGTAAGTACCATACTAAGGTGCTTGGCAAACAATTTTTTCTGTGTCCCAAGCAAGTAGCAAACAATCACTTTCATATATATATTATTAAATTCTTTACTATGCCGCATTGGTTTTGCAGTCAATGCGTGTGATGAAACTGGAAAGGTGACACCGAAGCAGAGTTTGCATGCCTATAATAAATATTTGAGCAATATTCACGATTTTTGACACGGCACAGGCACGTGCCGTTTATCAGACTGCATATCCTCTCCAAACATCAAGAGCTTCCGTGCAGTTGATCAGACTGCATATCCTCTCCAAACATCAAGAGCTTCCGTGCAGTTGATCAGACTGCATATCCTCTCCAAACATCAAGAGCTTCGCTGACCCCGTTCCAAGCCAATTTTCACTCTTAGCCACCCCTCCACATCAAATTCAGGGCCAGCTGCCGCCAATTTCAGCTTCATTTCCCGAAGTTGGCCCAAAGATTTTCAAAGGATGTTCACTTCAGAATAATTCTAAAACTCAGGTCAGGACCAAATACAGGCAGCAAACAACTTGAACACCCTCCAAAACAAATTGTGCATGCTACCTACAAGTAACTCAACGGGTGTCTGAACTTTAAACCTTGTTTTTTTGGTTGGGTTTGCGTGTGGAACCGCCCCCTTTTGTCCACCCCAAAAGTGCACTCAAACCCAGGTGGAAAAGAGTTGTTTTGTGCATGGACACCCACTGAGTAGGACTAAAAGCATGTTAAGACCTAACAGTTCATTTGTAACATTTTTTCAATGCAAAGCTGTATGCTTGGACATCTGACGCCCTAAGAAACACGCCATCACCGGCAAGCGGTGTGGATGGATTTTATAGTCACAAATAACAATCCTTTTTCACATGGGTGTGTCTCAATGAGCCCTTCTGCTGTAACTGAGGAGGGGACAGGATTTTACCAAAGATTTCATGGAGAAGCGATGCAAACTGGTTTATGCAGATGTCGCTGACCCAATGAAGGGAAATTTCTTCCCTGAGATTGCAAAGTTCGTCGCCAGGGTGACTCAAGACCATGAGGGGAACAATGTGCCACCTGGCTTTTAATCCTATGGTAAAAATGAACATTTTCATTGACCGGCATGTCGCTGTTTCAGCATCGGAATGCTTGCCTTTTCTATGATCAAAAAAAATGATTGTGACTGACTGATTTTATTTGTTTTTTTCTGGCTGTAGCCAAGGTTCGTTCTTGCAACTTTCGATTGCTGCATTTGGCCTAACAACACAATGTATGTGACCCAATGTGTGCAGACGCTCCAGTCAGTTTTGACTTCGTCACCAAAGAATGCAGCCCATGTTCAAGTACCTTTGCCCCACGCACAGACAAATGCGAAGGCCGTGGTGAAGCACCGCCGGCTGCTGGAGGACCAGCTCATGAATGCATCGCTGGATGTGTTGTGGCCTGTCACTTTGTCCTTCGACAAATCCCAGTTGTCAGCGGGAGACAAACGTGCGCCATGGCATCCTTGCTTGTTTGTCACCGCAAGCTGTCATGAAACGTCTCCATGGCAAGACAGTCACGCTGCCCAGACTCGAACAATTGGTCCATGTCCCCTGATCCGGGTGGCTGACATGCTGGGCTTTGATGAAACTATGCGCCCAGGTGCCTCTGCTCGTACCGAACAGAGTTTAGGCTGCAGGCATCATTTTTTTGTGTCATTGAATCATGTAGAGGTTCCAAAATTAAAATTCTAGTATTTGGGTTGTCAATGGATTCTGTATGTAGCCCAATGGTCAGGAAGGGTGTTCCAGCACATGCGGCCATTCTTACTTCCTACCTTCGTGGGCTCAGCTTTGGCGATGGGGATGTAGTTGTGGTGGCTGATGTGCTTCCCAACAGGTGCTTGAGAGGTTTGTTTCAAGCGCTTCAGTTTTTCAATCTGTTCCTGAGTGACGCCCTGCACATTGACACGTTGCATCCTTTATTTTTAGTTCCCTGAAGGCATGCTGAATTTGGAAGAGCAGCGTTGGAAAGGATGCTAGATGGGAGCGGAGCCACACCTCAGATGTACTACGTTGGCTGCTTGAGGCCTGATCAGGGCGACGTGAAGATTGCCATGGAGAAGGTGGTTTACGATGACTGGGACCGTTCGCCAACGGCCCCGGCCAGATCAAGACCAGTGGAGCCACAGCCTGATCCGAACCTGCTGCTGTTGACTTGGTCCAACAATTCAGCTTCCTTTCCGGATTCTGTTCTCCAGAAATTTCCTGAAGGGACGACGGCCCGTGCAGAGATTCTGGAGCTCAAGCGGGCCTTTATCGAGGAGTTTGGTGAAAGCATGACCAGTACCAATCAAACCAGTCCAGGCAGTCAGCCGGCATTGAGGAGGGCCACGGGCCGGCCTGACTTCAGCATCGATGGGGGCGCAAAACCGCTTGACCTCGCCAGAGATTTGAATCTTCCACTGGTTGCGAGCAGTGACTTTTCTGTGCAGAGGACCAGGGTTGAAATTTCCTCCCACGCCTGAGCATTCCCTGACCCAATATTTTTGAGTTGGACGGCACAGCATTCAAGCAATTCAATCCAATTCCTGTCTGATGCCTGAATATATGCAGCAACTTTATGTTGTTAGTACACGGTTGCGGTTTCTCATGTTTTATTGGAGTATTAACCGTTCTCCTTGGAATCTCAAGATTTTAAAGCTGCAAAGCAAGCAGGTATTACATGCACTAAAAGCACACAAACACTACTACCCATAGCAGTTGGGTCCAGCCAGGAAGTTGTTTGTGCTCAGAGGGTCTGATGCGACCAAACGCGACCAAATGATATCGTAGAAGATATACAACAGGTTCAACATATTATACATATAGTATATGAAAATAGAACTAGTCTGTCAGAAAACCTACAATAATATATGTATATATATATATTGTATATTATATTTATATGTATATATAAATAATATGCTTGAATTCCTTTATTATATATTTATTATGTAGACATGTATTCTATGATTGAATCTATATATATATGTATACATATATGAATAAATGTATATCCCTAATGATAAAATCCAAGTAATATAAAATCCAGATTATTATATGTATATATTATATATAATATATTATAATAATATATATTTGTTTTTTTTGCCATTTGTCTATCTCGCTGGAAAGCCAACCTGTTCAAGCTGGGCCTTCTATATATAGTATTATTTCTTGAAAATTGAGACTTTGACAATCTCACTGGAAAGCCAGCCTGTTTGTGTCATGGCATTTGCATGATTGCTTGCTTGCAGGAAGGGCTATTGTGCCAGCAGCCGCAACAAGCCTGCTGTGGTGATCGGGGAGGACTACTCTATGTGGATCGGGAATGAAACCACTGAGGAGCTGAAGCTGGAATGTAGCGAGATTTGCGGTTTCAACCTTGGTGCCTATGAGGAGAAAGCTGTCACAGGCCTGAATTTCGCAGCAATGGCCCATTGCTAACTTAAACTTCAAACTATGAGTTTTCTGTGCTTTAGCTCATGTACTCCAGTCCTTGACAGCTGCCCTTCAAGGTTTGGGTGAGTCGGAGCTCTCGGGCATTTGCTTTCGCTTCCCGAATGATTTGGCATTGGTTTCGCACGAGAGGAAGTGCATGAGCTTGGCTGAGTATAGCCACATTTGCTGCACAGTTCATGGGGTCGCAAGTTTTGAGCTGGCGAACCATTTGATGGTGCAAAAGCAGTACCCGCCTGCATCTCGGTTTGAAGAACAAACCAAGCCATTCTGGGTGTAGAAGCAGCAGCAGCAGCATGGGTTGTAATTGTTTCACATTCAAACTATCTAGACTTTCCCAAACAACACTTTGAAGTAGCTGTCCCATGTTCAAGGATGACTGCTGTCATTTGATCTCCTTCAAGTTTAAAAAAACATGTGGTAGAATCGAAAGCTTTGTTGCATCTTGCTTCCAAGGCGGAGCAGGGACAAGAAGGATTGCCCGTGCCGTATAGATTCCAGGTCAGCCCGGCTGCAAATGGCAAGTGCAACGTGTTCAAGCCGAATGTGATCTCGAGCGACAGTGGTGCCGTCAGGCTGTTTTGGGGGTGTTCTCTCGCCAGGGAGTTGAATGCCTTCTTTCTGTGTCTGCATCTTGCTGCTGTCCCGCTTTGAAATCATGAGAAATGAAAGTGGCAATGTGGCAGCCTCTCTAGGTTGACCATTTGGTTTGCTGCATTAAATTATCTTCTTTGATCATATGTCCTGCGGTTCAGTCCTTGAGAGTCAAAACAATCAAGCTCCCCCTAAAATTTGCTGACCATATCACTTTCTGTAGGCATGCAACCATTGGCGCTTTGTATGTTGGGCACATGGACAAGCTTCCGAAGACACAGTCTGCATGCACCGTTTGGGAGGCGTGACAAGCTGCGCCATTTGGTTTTTCCAGAGTTCAGCAGTTCATTTATGGTTTTCCAGGGATTGATTGGGCTGCGTTTGTCAGTCAATCTTGTTTGTTGCAGGTGCAGCTGCAGACCGGATCAGGCACAGCCCGAATCATTGGCTTGAAGCCCAAGATTTTCCTGACAGGAGCATTGACGTTGCCTCCCAACACTTGGGCAAAAGTGTCCTGAGTGAGTGCTTACATAGCTCTTAGATTCTGAAGAGAGATGCTGGCAGTTCGGGAGTGTAAAATATGTTCGCCCCAGTGGCCAAGTTTGGGCTTCATACTGAGGTTTGCAATCCATAGTCGACCATATAAGACCATATTTTTTTGTTTCTTTTTTGGAATGGCCGGCATAATTTGATTCAGATTCAGTAGCTGCATTCAACTCTTTGAAGGAATTGTTTGCAGTGACCCAGCCAGCTTTCCGCAGGGATTTAGCTCCGAGCTCATCGCCAGAGCAGTGACCCAGCCAGCTTTCCGCAGGGATTTAGCTTCCGTTGTCACTGCAGGGATTCTAAGATGAGCGTTTTCCCAGCGGTGCAGTATCTATCAGATTCAGACACCACTGAGGCTGGAGCTGCTGTGTAGATTTTAAAGCTGACACCATGCCAGTTCGCCCATCATTTGTTTTTAGGATACTGTCACTGTGCCGCTTCAACAAAAATTCTTTGAAGTCTGCAGGTCATGGGTGGCACGCCGACTCCGAAAGGCAAGGCCAAGGCCAAAGCCACCCCGGAGAAGGGTGTGCCCAAGAAGCGGCCTGCTGCTGCTGCAGCTGCTGCCACAGAGGCCGATTCTGTTGAAGAGGGTCCTGAGAATACTCCCAAGCGCAAGGCGACACCAAAGAAACCAGCAATGAAACGCCCAGCTGCAAGTCAGAGTGCTGGTGCTGTTCTGAAGCGCCCTAGCATCCGGGATGCAGAGGAGGGTGCTGCAGATGGTGAGAGGGGAGACGCGGAAGCTCCAGCTCCTTTGGAGGGTAGTGCGCCAGTGGCTCCTGAAGTTGACGCTGCAGCTGCTTTGGAGGGTAGTGCGCCAGCAGCTCCCGAAGTTGATGCTGCACCTCATGGAGATGGACCGCCAGCCCGCCGATCTGCGCTGAGACGACCTGCTGCCGCCTCCCAAGCTGTCAGAGGCGCCAAGATCTTTGACATCTTTGTGCTGTAGTTTTGAAATCTTTAAAGTTTAGACCTCGAGAGATTTTTGAAACTTTTAGACAAAATTTGTGCCGAGTCTATGTCAACTTTGACAGCAAGCAAGCTTGCAGGTGCCGATAGGAAGGTCTCTTCTGTCTACTACTACAAGCGCTCCAACAAGTTTGCTGTCAAGGTTGATGGAAAGGAAGTTTTTCAGGCTTTGCCAGTTCGTCCAATTTTGTGATTCTTATGGCACAATCTTAGGTTGCAGCCTGTCTCACACCACTATTCTTTTTAGTGTTTTGATTCTGACAGGTTGGAGGCAGCATCCAGGGGCGTTTTGTTGACAAGAAGTTGAGCCAGGAGGCTGCAGCACCGACCCCAACTATCGCAAGCCATGGTCCATCACATTCTTTTGTCACCCGCTTTGTTGCCATTGCCATTGACCACTGAGGATGTTGGCCGCGCGCTTCTGTTAGAGGGCAAGTCTGTAGGAGAAGTTCGGGACGTGATTGTGACCCACTCAGCACCATGGAATGCTACTTTTCAAATTGAACAAAATAACCATGTCTGGTACAACCCTGAGGCTGAGATGCAAAAGTCCATTGACCAGGCGGCTTTGGATGCAGGCGACTTCTCTCAATGTTCCATGCTTGCCGCCAAACAATCAAATTAGATCTCTTGAAATGGAACGGTTGTTGACTGAGTGGCTTTGTCCTTAATCAGAGACCATTGGGCCAGGACAGTCATCATCTGGAGCAGCACCAAGCAAGGTTGCTGAAGCAGCAGCAGAAGGTTCTCCTGAAGATGATGTGGTCGCAGTTGAGCCAAGGGCTGTTGCAACAGGGAGCGCAGATCTGCCAGACGATCTGGCCGAAGGGGGGGAGGAAGAGGCTCCCGAAAACGATGAAGTACAGAATGTCGACTGATATCAAGATCCAAGGTCCAGATTCGAGGGATGTCAAACAGCGAGCTGAGATGAGCTGAGAAAGTGCGAGCCGCCCAATCATGTCGCGATGTCCCATGCTGGATCAAAATCACACCTTCATTTCACATGCAATGTGGCAGCCTTCGTTATTTTTTCCGCTGTGCCAATCAGTGATGTCTCGTCTTGTCTTGTCACATGTGTTTGGGGCCATTGCCCATTCACAGGCTCTAGGGTTCACAGATCATCCTAGGAGACGCAATAGCCATTAGAAGAGACAGTTGATGGCAGCCATCCTCCTCAATATTGTGCTGCTTTTCCAGTCAAGTTCTTTCAATTTCCACCTCGTACCGTTTACGTCATGGTGGAGTTGTCCATTGTGCAGCTGCTGCTGCGATGGATGTGGTGCAGCGCTGAGAAGGATCATGGCAGCGCGATGGCTCTTGTTGAGTCTCTGAGAGATTGGTGCTTGATGGTGCTTCTTGCCTTGGGCCCATGGCCATGCCTGGACAAGATTGGAACTTTGTATGTATGCACAGCCCAAGCCCTTGCAGTCAAACAAAATCGACTTCCTTTCCCCCAGACTTTGGATGACTTGGTTGATGTCTCCGTGGACCAAATCAAGGCCGCCGAATTGCAGAGGTCACTCTGGGGCATTCGGCACGCCCCAGACGCTTCCACGATCAAGCTGGCTGGAACACACGTGCATTCAATCCTTTTTGATTTGCTCAGCTATTACTTGGTTGATGAAGCGGGCGATGGCGGGAGGAAGACCCCAATTGCACACTTTCTGGATGAATGTTTGTTTTGGTGTGACTCTGTGTTAGCCATCCTGGATGCACCGTGTCCGCCTGGTGCTGATGGAGGCGAGGATGTGAAAGGCGCACACAATGAAGCGACCAAAGCCTGTGTACAGTAGTTTGGGATTTGCACGGCTCCCTTAAAGTTACAGCAGCTTTGAATTTTTCAAAAGGCGCAAGGCGCATTGTGTGATCATGAGCAACTTGAAGGCTCATTCTCTCTGTTCAAAATGGCGCTCCAAGTCCGTTGGACCGCGTGCGTTTGCACGCTTGGACTCGTGTTTGGACCTTTGCTTGTTGGTTTTTCCTTTGACAGGTACACTATGTTGAGATATAGGGGGTTTACATCAATGAATTAATTAGATAATACTTAGAATAAAATTACTATTATTGTATTTATTTGATATTTTTATATTATTGTAGCTAGTAGCATAGAATAAGCCATTTTGGCCCAAGTGCCAATGTTTCAACAGCTGAGCAAAGCACCTTGGTGCAGATATAAAATGTTTGTTAGCATGCCCTTGCGTTGGAGCTTGCATCAGATTTTTTGAGTGTTGCACTCAATCAAACTTTTTCTCCTCCCCTTCCTCTCCCATGACGAGCGATGAAGCTGTCATGATGCTGATCCATACCCTGGAGCGTAGGGCTATGATGTCAGAAATTTGGAAGGAATCTTATCACATTTTACCACCTGGATCTTGGCAACCCGGATATTTTTGGCAACCCGATTGCAGGAAAAAATCCTTTGCATCACATGAAATCCCGCAAAGGCCTCATAGCCATATCGGACCACCAGTTCAACTCCCGGATGACCTCGCTCTTGTCGTTGCGCCAACAACACACTAGTCCAGGGCTGCAAGTGTTGTAGCTGACGACCTGCATGGTAAGCATCCAGTTGAGGCAACACCATATCGAGCAGGAAGATCAATATGCGCAGAGGGAACCCACGGAGGAATTCGGTGAGGAGGTTTCGCATAAGTGCTCCTCCTTCTGCATTCGCCTGCCCAGGAATTGGGATCATGTCGATCAGGACTTGTCGGAGATCGTGCTCTGTAGCAATAGGGTCATCTCTGACATCCCTGTCATCCCACGGCACCATATGCAGATCAGCACATCCCTTGCCAGCAGCCTGCAGAAGTGAGCTGAGGGTCCGTTTGCAGTGGTCAGGGAGATCAAAGCTAACCCATGAGAGCACCCGTAGGAGCCCCTCGCACCGTACTCCATGTGGTATGACCTCAGAGGTCGTTATCTGGAGATAATCAATATGATAGGTGCCTTCTTCAATCGATGTAAACAATAGATGCCCGTAAGCATGTCGCGCTCTGCCACCCCAGGAAAGGCTGACCATCAATGAGTACGACATTATAGCTGAGGTCTGTAAGGGTGGTCGGACGCCACACGCAGAGTCGATCTTCAAGGCAGTGGAGAAGAATTACTCTTCGTTCCCCAGTTGTTAGCCTCAACATTTCTGGCGGAGTGGCAATTGCAGCAACCTTTGTAGTACCTGGAAAGCAATCGAACTCATTGAGCACTTTGTGGAGAGCCAGTCCAGTGTACGATCCAGCCGAAAAGCCAAGAACATCAATGTCTCTTATGCCGTCTGGGATGGAAGCTGTCACAAGATGGGGAAAACACGCTCGCACCAACAGCAGTTTGCCTTGTGGATGGTAGCATCTAAAGATTTGCCGAACTGCTGTGACCCATGTGGGGTGGGGAGGTCTCGCATGTGCTGGCCGGATGGTAGCCGCCGTCAACAGCCGTATAGCACGGGTGATCAAAAGCAGGGCTCCTTGCTCATAGGCGGGGCGGGCCCACTTATGAAAATTGGGCTGTCTGCCTTGGAATGCATCAAGAATTCCTCGCAAGTGCCCATGCCGAGGCCACTGCCCCGTTGCTGGCACTGGAAACGTGACCAAGCCTGACCATTGTCCCAGTATGCTCCAAGCATGACACCAGTCAGCTGCACATCGAGTGGCCGTGCCTAGAAGCGGCGATCCTAGCAATCCACTAGAAACAGCTGTTTCAGTATCACAGGGCGGTTGGGTGGTCGACAGGTAGCTGTCAACATGGTCACGGTAAGCACTGCTGGCAATTGTGGCAAGTTCGTCAGGGTCACGATCAGGGTCTACCAGGTCAGACTCTGGAATTGGGCTGCAATGCCGAGATGCCAACAGAATAACCAGTCCAGCATTAATTTCCGTGAAGGCTTCACTAACCAGGATGATGCCTTTGATGGCAACCGGTTTTGATGTTTCAGCAGTAGCTTGCTTGTCAGTCGATCCTTGGCACGACTGAGCCGTTGGCGTGGAGTTGTGGCTCCTTTCAT